GCAGTTCCTGGAGTCTGCTACTACTACCTACTGATGAACTGCCTGCTGGAAATATGTCGTACTGAGGTACAAAGAGACCTCTCATAGTTAGCAGTGACATGGACACATCGGCCACCGCTGGAGGAACTACAACGGGTTGCGCAGGCCTCGCTGTAGGTCTGGGGCCTCTCTGCACAGCCATAATCTAATTCTGACAGTCTGTCAATGTGGCCATCATTCCCTACTAAACGGCCTGTACTTCGGTCACACTGAGTGCACCGAAGTCCCCGCATATTAGGTGCTTCAACATTCACAGCTTCTATCCTGTTTAGTTCCGCTTCCCTCGCCTCCAGTCTGGGCTTTCTTTTTTTTCTAGCTCTATCTCGTCTATGCTCTACCTCCTGTATCTGACACTGTAACTCTGTGTGAAGGGCATCCTTTTCTCTAATCTCAACGTCCTCCACTGACAAGGGTTGTTGCTGGCGGTCGTGCACGCCAACAGACTGTCTAGTGAAAGGCCTCGATATACCTTGACTAACACCCATCGAAGAGGCCTGGGAAGACACCTGGGACATGGAAGAAACGGTAGGCTTTGTTGCCTCGGCCTTGGCTCTAAGGTGCAGGTGCTAGTGCCATCACTGAGTTGGCTGCTGCCACCTGTACCTTCTGCGAGACCCTACTCTCCTCAGCTGCTCTCCGCTGTCTCCTTTCCTCGCCTGGTCTTTAACACCAGGCAAGTGGTCGGCCGACAAAGTGCCTGTCCACGGGCAATCCTCCCCTCATCCTAGTCCGTGTCTCAATGTGGCATACTGCGTAGCCAGGCCCGTCCCGGACATTCAGCCTAAAAGCCTAAAACTTAGGGCTTACAGGCCCCGTTCGTTTCAGCCTGAAAGCTGAAAAACGAGGGCCTGCAGGCCCTACCCCGTTTCAGCCTATTTCTGGGTCTTTTCAGGCCCAGAGTTTTCAGCCTGAAACGGAGGGCCATTTTCAGGCCCTCATTGTTTCAACCTGCCCCTAAGACTCAGGCACGTAAACAGGGATGCAGAACAGGCCAGAAATAGCCTGTTCCTCACGAGTTTGAGCAGGAGCTGCAGCTGCAGCCCCTGCCTCCCTTCGGCAGGCTCAGGAGGCACACCCGGTAGTACATAGGAAGTTCCCATGCACTTCACGGGTAGGTAGTTCAGTAGGCACGAGGTAGTCTTCAGAATTTGGCCGCAGCACTCAGGAGGAGCGCTGCAGTAGTCTTCAGCGCTAGGGAGTATTAGCGCTAGCTGTAGTCTTCGGCGCTGGGCGCCATAGCTGTAGCTGTAGTCTTCAGCGCTGGGCGCTGGTAGGTGGTAGATCGTAGAGTGGGAGAGAGACTGGCGGAGGCCAGTGATACTTACCTGTGGCGCCATCGCTCCAGCTCCATCTTCGTGGTACCTGCATCAAGG